GTGTGTGTGTGTGTGTGTGTGTGTGTGTGTGTGTGTGTGTGTGTGTGTGAACCAAATTGCTGCAATTAGCACTTCCTTCTGTCTGCAACTCCAGAGGGATGATAATTATCATTAATCCAACTACCCAAAATACACTCACACAAACACACACAAACACACACAAACACACGCACACGGCTGGTATCTCTGCATTTTTGTGCTTGTGCGTTTTTTCCTTCTAATGAGAAAGTGTGATCATCCATTTTCGTCTGCAGTCGTGATTATGTCAACATTTTACAATCCACCTGATTATTTGCTGGAAATGAAAGCACTCTTAGATTGACGCTGTGCGACATCTAGTGGTACAAACTGGTTACTGTACTGGTGAAGTAAATCTCAAAAGCGCTAACAATTTTAGAAAAAAAGAAAAAACGGCAAAGGACACTTCTGACATGCAAAGCATGCTTTGACATCCACAGTGCAGTTATCACAATGCCCATTTTATTTCAGATTCTCAGCTTATGTAACACAACCTTGTCAGATCGTTGAGCAATCAAAACGCTGCATGATATGCATACAGGAAACCAAAATTAGTGATGAAACAAATAATCTGTTACAGCAGAATAAAATATACAGTGTGGACATGTGATTATAGAGTACTTTAAGTTGATAATGATGATTGTTTTTAAAAAACAGAAATTCATCTTGCATTCAGGTGGAGTCACTGTCTTGCAGTTTCAAAGCCAGAAGAAGCAGGTCTGACATCTATAAAGTAGTAATTACATTGGAAATGTACACATGATTAGACGTAACATTGGATCACTTGATAATTGAGGATTTGTTCCACACACATACCTCTGCCAGATAATTTTCTCTGTCCTCTTCTCTCCACTGGCGCTGAAGCAGCCTGTCTGCAGTTTGAGGCATCATCTGATTTGGATTCTCTGGTTGCATCAGAGCCTGCATTAGATGCTGTGTGAGCCGGGCTGGTTTTAGGGCTGTCAGGTAGTCCCTGTCAGGGTTTACCTCCTGCTCCTCCTCTATGCTCTTCTTTCCCATCAAGTGACCTGGGAAGTTGGAAATAAAAGGTAGCATTCTGAAGAATCTATTGTAGAGCATCTTCTGAAATTATACTGCAATCAAGTGTAGATGTGTGCAAAGCATTTTTTTTCTCACTGCAAAGTGCTCATTTATCCTGGTGTAACTTATATATATATATATATATATATAACTTAGCAGCAGAGAATGACTAAAAACATACTTATTTATAACAACAGAAAACAAATGATTTGAAGTGACCCAGGGTTATTACAATTGTAATTGTAATAAATAGGCTATTATTGTTATGAATATTTGTTTCAAAGAGTGAACAGTCCTGCGAACCTTGCGATATAATCGCCAAATACATAGATCAAAAAGTAATATTAACTTGCCTGCACGAAATATTTTTTTTAGCAGATTGTGTGACGGTTTCCTTACCTACTGCCCAGTGATTGCCTCGTGGATACATTTTCCCAACAACTGCTGCAGGGCTCTCTGAGCAGTTCAAAATACACGGTACAGTAGCCAGAATAATAAGGACTGGCCACACGGGTCTGCAAGTCCATGAATACCATAAGCACTCTCCGCCCATGTTGTCGGAAAATATAAACGTAAATATAAACAAAAACAAAACACCCAACGTATGTTAGTCCTTAAGTTACAGTTAATCGGCTTGATCTATCTTTAGAAGATCTCCACTATACTCGTTTTTTATTCGCGTGAGCCGATAAGTTTGGAAACAGCTGTCCAGTTGCAAACCTGCAGAGGTTCCACTCCCGGCGCCTTTGATAGGAATGGCTAACGGTTCAAAGTTAAATGCCCCTCCTGACACAGCCGTACGTCAGTGGGTGTCTTAAGTAGCCCGACGCTGGTGCCAAAATGAGCAAGTGATGATGACAAATTATCATCTATACTCTGTAATTATCGATCGCTATTGTTTGCCCAGAGATTGCTGGGTGATTGCAGAAGATGTCAACGTCATTTCACGCGGATGGACGAGACCTCAGTAATTGCCTCTGTCTCAATAAGCATGTGAGGAAAAGCTGTGACTGAAGAACTCTTCAGGTCATTTACATGTACATTACACTATATAAAAAAATAATAATAATCTTTAAAAAAAACAAGATAAGGACAAATATAAAGCAGAGATGTGTTTCTGTTAGAGGAGTTAACCTGTGGAATAGTTATGACAGTGATTTAAAAAGGTGTAGTTCATTTTCCTTGTTTAAAAATATGTTTAAAAATAGAGTATTAGAAAAATATATATATCAAGAATGAAAAGAGCAAAGAAAAACAAAAACAAAAAAACCTCTTGATTCTTTTGCTTTGATGTAGTTACTTACTAAGGTGGTGGTGTTTTTTCTTGTTTGTTTGTTTGTTTGTTTTGTTTTTGCTTTGTTTGCCTTCTCTCACCCCAACCGGTCGCAGCAGATGGCCGCCCCTCCCTGAGCCGGGTTCTGCCGGAGGTTTCTTCCTGTTAAAAGGGAGTTTTTCCTTCCCACTGTCGCCAAAGTGCTTGCTCATAGGGGGTCATATGATTGTTGGGCTTTTCTCTCTGTATCTATGAAGCGCCTTGAGGCGACATTTGTTGTGATTTGGCGCTATATAAATGAAATTGAATTGAATTGAATTTTATTATTTGCTTCGAGCCCTGTGTACAGGAGCTGCATGCTAAAAGATCTTTTGTTAAAAGGGTTGGCGTAATAAGCAAATGCTTCAGCCAATACCTTTTGATTAGCCTTGTCTCATGCTTTCTTGCTTTGTGGTAAATCTTTGTTCTGTCTTCACTGAGATATTTGAATGCTAATCAATAAACATATCAATCAATTTAATACTAACAAAATGAAATAGGGAGGTTTTCACGTAAAAGAAATGAGTCATTTCCACTGAGTGGCTCATTTTAGGGAAAATCCATATTTTTATGTGTTTTATTTAAATGATACATCACGACTGATCTGTTGGAGTTACTTGTACTTCATATGCAGGTTTGGAAATGCATTGTATGCAAGCTGAAATCTTGATCCAAAGAAGCAGATAGTAGCAGAAAAAAAGCCTGAATATGAAAATCATTAGGCCTTTGCCCAAAACACTTGTCATGACTGTGATGATAATAATGGATAGTTCTTAGAAATCAGTGTAAAATTGAATTAAACTCACTTTTTCTGCTTAAAACAACGCTTCATGGGTGAAATCGTTTGCTCAGATTCTGTCAAACCGAGTGAAATTAAACATTCATAAGCAAGCAATATTTCATATTGCAAAGGTCTGCCTATAAACTGTTAAGGGGAATTCAATGTTCCCCGCTGGTGTCCTTTGTGCACGTCTGGAAAACTGATTAGCTGAAATGTTGTCTTTAAGGGGACATGAAACAACAATGGAGTGTACCACGAAGACGAAGAAGTCCAAATAAGCATAAACATCGGAGAATAAATGCACAAACGTTGGCTCCAAAGCACAGTTTTCAATGTTTTAACACTTGGTTACGCTCCACTACAAAGAAGTCCTTGTATGTTATAAAGAAGCAACGGCACAAATATGAATAAGAGTATTCCATATTACTGTTTGATTCACATGTTTTTGGTGCTACTGCCAAGTGACAGCAGGCGTGGGTAAATCACACACTCTGAAAAGTTTCTGCCACGTTAGTGGGACATTTTCCACTTAGCAAGCGTTGGAGGACTTCTGCAGGTACGTTCACCCTCAAAGTTCAGTCCTCATAACATAAAAGTGATTTCCTTTCTGTGATTGGTAACTTTCACACGCATATGACCTCAAATGCACATGTGAACATGTCACATGTCACAGTACAGTCAAAATACATGGGCTGTGAAAAATCATTGGTTGCCCAGTTGCCCACTGCACTGCATTTGTTATTTTTTATTTATTTATTTGGTCTTGCAAGCCAAATGCAGGTACTTGCAGCAGGCAACTTTTGATCAAAGGGTGACGCAACATGTTGCCCAGTGGGTAGCAGCCTGTCTTCAAAGGTTGTCCAGTGCCTGTGTTGCTTTGCAGTTAAAGTGCAGTTGGATTCTTGCAGTAAATACTTTGCTATTTGTGGAGCAATTTCTAAATTTCTGTTTTAAATCTACACATTTCTCACTGGTCTCTGAATGTCAGCAATTAATGTGAATTTCTGTGTAGCAGGGCAACAATTCTGCAACAGAAAACAACAGATTTGCAATATTCCCTTATTTATCACAGTTACTCGCCATATTATCACAGACACCATGTAACTGCCAACATGGCATTATTCAAGTCAGAAAATTATAGCAGGCTGATTTCATCTTATCGTCATCTTTAAAGTGACCAAAGCAACATGCAAGTGACTGCAAGTGGTTGCAGACCTGCTCCTTGTTACAACAACCAAAGGCATTTACATTGCAAGTTCATTGTTACTGTAGCCTCACTTAGCCAAGCGTGTTAAGGCTCCAGCATACCACCTTTATTGCTACCCTTTGCAGATGCAGATCTATATGTTGCAGTTGTCTGCTGGAATGCGCTATTGTTTTCTTGGAGGACAACACATCTCCATGGGCTCTGCACTGTTTAAATTCCCAGAAACCTTCTCTCTGTATAAGAATGACATAAAAAGACACCATAAATCTGTATTTTCCAATATGGCAGCGTTCTTCAGACCTCAAGTATACAGTTATTACAATAACCCCAGAAAGCAGGATATTATGGTTAATAATATTTCTTACCTCAGAGAGCGCTGTTACTCGGGTAATAAAGTACATCACATGTGAGAGCTGTTATACACAGTTATATGTGTTATATACAGTCTATACAATGAGACTTGTTTTTTTTTTTCAGAGTAAGAGAAACTGCCCCCTGCTGGTCATTAGAAAGAATGCATGCACACCGATTTCTCTTTTCAGAAAAGGAAACCTTTCTTCTTCTTTAATACACTATATGGATACTTATCAGTCAATGTCTTTATTTCTTTTGGCTAATAGGAAATGAGGATATTACTCTTACTTGTTTACGTCTTTAAATCTGTCTCCTGTAAGTCCCTATAAGTACTGGCCCATAATAGATTATGCCAGTGGCTCCTACTCTGGGAGTTCTGCAGCACAAACTCCCAATAAAAAAAAGTTACTTCAATAGTCTAAATAGTATATAGAGCAATTTCTAAGTTGTGGCGGCATAAAATAAAAACATGCTGATGCAAAAAAACCCAAAAAACAAACAGCTCAGAAAAAATAAATAATGGCTATCCATGACTCCTATTACCACCTGTAACCGAGGAAAACTCCTTATGTGTAGGGAGGGGTGTTTTCATTTGGTTACTGTTTGAAGATTCCCCCCCCTATCTCTAGTGCTTCAAAACTGCATTTATTTAGACCTACAATATTAAATTACAGTTTTTACCAGATTAGGGTTGCTTGTTTGTAGTAATCGGTTATTTTGGTCAATACTCAGATCACAGTTATTTGACACATCACACACTTTTACATTTTTTTTAAAAAAAATTGTGAATTTAAAACCTGTTAAAAATATTATATTTTCAAGGGAATTTCCTTGAAATGTAAATACAATCCAAAAGTAAAGCAAAGGAATGTGCTGAAATGCAAATATAGGAATTATTTTCACAAGCAACTGGAGCCAAATACAGCAGCACAAAACGCACACTAACACAAGATTAGTGACTGTGTGCTAAAACATAGGAGGAAATCCTTCAACTTTTACTTCTTCCTTTTACACAACACCGAATTGTGTTCACATTTTCTGCACGTTAACAATTTGTAACTATCGCTTTATTTTCAAATCACAGAAAATTATGCACACACATGAAATAAAACCAACGGCTCTTACAAGATGCCATGAATAAGAGTGATGAATATTTTGACACCTGTTGTGTGCTTACTTACATCTGCCATCTTGTTAATGAAGAGTCCAACTAATTTATTGGCACACTTTATTGCAGAGCACGGAAAGGTCAGCAGTGTGAATTAGGCAGTCCTCAAACACAGTGAGGCACCCACGTATGTACCCGTGTGAAATTCTCGTGCTTGACTGATCCCTTTCATGGCTTTATTGACATACAGATTACTGGAGGTACAGAAATGATGAGGACAGATAAGGACTCCATGCAGGGAAATACAATTTTGTGTTGAAAAGACTAAGGGTTCCATCTGGATAAGTCCACACACAACCCAGCAGAAAATTCGAGTGCTCCTAATATCATATCCTCGTTCAAGAATGACCTTAACAAAGCAGGATGAGTCACCTATGTTTAAAGGGCAGCGACAGATAGGACACACAGTGCAGCGTCTTATCAAATATTTGTTGGTTTATTTTTATGGAAGACAACAAGCTCATGTAACAAAAAGAAAAATGTAAAAAAAAGACCAGGAATATACAAGATGCAAGAAATACAAGGTTCAGTCGGAGGTTATTCATAAAGCCATAGTTTCATTTATGACTTTCACCTTTTTTACTGTAACTGCTCACTTGGAACATTTTACCAACAAAAAAAGGAACAAGATGAAAAAAAACCATAATGAAATTACATTACCACCTAGTGAAAGTATGAACTTTGGATTACCCCACACTGAGAAGTGAAGGAGGTTTTCATTAACTCATTCA